ACTTTTACTGAAGTAGCTCCAGCCTTCTGCAGGTGTCTTGGATCCAACTCTCTTCCTTACTTAGGAATAAGCCACTGTGTTTTCTTTTCACAAGGCCATCAAAATCTGAGCACCTGCCAGGTGTGGTGATACACTCCTGTAATCCCATTACTTTGGGAAACTAGGCAAGAGGACTGCAAGTTTGAGTCCAAGCTGCACAACTTAGAAGGCCTGATCTCAAGAATAAAAAAGTGGGCTGGCACTACAGCTCAGGCAAAGGCCTTGGGTTCAGTCCCCAGGACGGATGGACGGAAGGAAGGAAGGAAGGAAGGGAGGGTGGGAGGCCCCAAGTACCTTACTTAGTGAGGAAACCAAGCTGTCCCTACCCTACTAGTAGAGCACTTGAAATTTTAACTCCCATCAAACAAATGACTTTGTTTTCAGATCTGTAGTTGTGTTTTGATCCCAGGTGATATCCATTTTAAATTATTTATTTACTTATTAAATTATTTATTTACTTATTTGCTGGTGCTGGGGATTGAACCCAGAGTCTTTGCATTGAGCTACATTCCCAGCCATTTTATAGTTTTTATTCTGAGACAGTCTTGCTAAGTCCCTAAATTGCCCAGGCTGGGCTCAAACCTGCAATCCTCTTGCCTCAGCCTCCCAGAGTACTGGGGTTACAGGCATGCACCACAATGCCCACTCCTTCTCTTACTTTTAAAGGGCTTTGCAGGCAGCATTGATTTAGTTGTTAATTCTTTACTTAGAAAGCCATCCCCTTTCTTTCACAGAAGAATGTAAATGGATTTTTTTCTGCAATGTTTCATGTTTATAGATTTTTTGCTTGCCTAAAAGAAAAATTGTTAATCTATAGTCACCTGAGGTTTGATGCCTCACTTTTTAAAAACTATGAATCTTGGCACATTTGTCATAACAGATTTCTTGCTAGATCCTTGAAAAAGACTTTAAAGAGATTATAGCAAGGATGAGAAGGATACATCTCACATATATACATATATATTACAGATGACTATAACAAAATTGATCAGATTAATGGTTCTCACCTTTTGGGTAACTGATGCAGACAAAAGCTGCTTGGCAGCCGGGCATGGTGGTGCACACCCATAATCCCAGCACTCCAGAGGCTGAGGCAGAAGGATCACAGCAAATCTGAAGCCAGCCTAGGCTACAAAGTGAGTTCAAGGCCAGCCTGAACTATAGAGCAAGACCTTGTCTCAAAAAACAAAACAAAACAAATAAATAAAAAAGCTACTTGGCATGTGTCTTAAAAAGAGTACAGCTGGCCCTCCATATTTGTGAATTCCATAACCGGGCGTGGTGGAGCACACCTGTAATCCTAGCACTCAGGAGGCTGAGGCAGGAGGACCGTTGTGAGTTTGAGGCCAGCCTGAGCTACATAGTGAGACCCTGTCTCAAAAAGACCAAAAATAAAAAAGAAAGGACGTATTTGTGAATTCCATGTGTGAATTCAACCAACAACCAATCAAAAATATTTGAAAACAAATTTGTAGTAAACCCATACTGCCTTTTTCCTTATTATTCCCTATGTAATATAATTATTTATATAGCATTTACATTGTATTAGATATTATAATTAATCCAGAGATGATTTAGAGGAATACCACTTTATATATGGGACTTGATCATCCTCAGGTTTGGGTTTCTACAAAGACCCTGGAACCAGCCCCCCACATTCCAAGGGATGACTGTTTATCATACTTCGGATGGCATATTTTGCTACTATATTAATTACATAAAAATTATATTTCCTAAGGAATAGGACTGTTCATATTAGATATCCCTCCTTGTTCCTTTTAGTCATTTCCTCCTGAAACTCCAGTGTGAGTTTCTCACAAACTCTTTTATGATAATGTGTTTTTAAATTTTTATTTATTTTCTTTTGCTACTGGGAATCAAACTCAGGACCTTGCACTTGTCAGGCAGGCACTGTGCCGCTGAGCTATATCCCTGGCCCCTCACTGGTAATGTCTTATATTGATAATGGATACCGAGGGGTGCCTGTAATTTATTTTTCACATATTTTAGGAATAATCATATTATGTGATATAGATAAAGAACAAGTTGGGTATGGTGAAACTTGAGTGATTGCCTTATTTGTTTCCTCTTACTCTCCATATTTAATCATGAAAACCTAGCCTATCTATTTTGCAATCACATTTCTTTTTTTTTAAGACAGGGTCTCACTGTGTAGCTCAGGCTGACCTTCAACTCACTATATAGCCCAGGCTGGTCACAAACTCACAGCTATCCTCCTGCCTCAGCTCCCAAGTCCTGGGATTACAGGTGTGTGCTACTATGCCCAGCTTGGAATTCCAGTTCTACCTTAAAATCTACTAGGTTCTAATTCCAGTCTTATCCTCTGTTATTCCAGTCTTATCCTCTGTTAATGTTCAGTACTCATGTGATTATAATTTTCCTAAAACACATGCTTAAAATGTTAGAGGTTTCCCATCACCTTCAAAATGAAATCCAAGGCTGGGGATGTAGCTCATTCAGAGTGCTTCCCGAGCATGTGTCAGGCCCTGGGGTCCACCCCCAGCAACACACACACACATTCCTTAGCGTGGCCTAACTATACAATCCCTGTATCCCTAGTGATTCTCATCTCCAGAGATTCTTCAATGTTTACCTTGCTTTTAAATTGCCCCAGATTACTAGAACTTCCCTCAAATTCTACGCATTCTTCAGTCTAATGCTTTCCCAGCTGAGCTTTTTCAGCCAAATTAGAACTAAGCTTCTGATTTTAATGAAAATATTTTTGCTGAGTTTGCTTCCATTGAAGCCATGAAAGTAAAATTTAATAAATTCTGCTTTTGGTACAAATAACATATTTTGAAATCAAACGACATGAATTTTAACATATCTATCTTTTTTTTTCTTTTTTGGCTTTTTGAGACACAGTTTTGCTATGAAATTCAGGCTGGCCTTGAGCTCACTTTGTATCCCAGGCTGGCCTCAAACTCACAAGGATCCTCCTGCCTCAGCCTCCCTAGTTCCAGGAATTACAGGCGTGTGCCACCATGCCCGGCTAACATACCTATATTTAAACGAACCCTTGGCAGACACACTCAAACCATATCAAAACCATAATACTTGACATAAGTGGGGATTCCTACACTGAATGAAGATGCAGTACTAGACCTTTCGCTAGCAACCTCAAGTCCAGAAGGTGCCAACAAAAGTAAGTTTGGGCATGGTATATAGCTAGCTCAGTGGCAGAGTACTTGCCTAGCATGTATGAGGCCCTGGGTCCAATCCCTAACACCACCAATGGGGGAAGGGCACGGAAGAATATGAAGTGTTGCGCTGTTTCATAATCTTTGGAATCAAATCACCCTAGGCTGTTTTTTTTAATTACAGTATTAATATGGGGAAATAATTAAAGGATTACTTGCATTCCTTTGTTGCATGTAAAGGCTATTTTTACGTGCAGTTTACTAACTTATTACACTTTAAAATTCAAACTCTCTACAGAGATTTGTTTGGATTCATGGGCAAGGACTTTAGGCTGGTTCCATTTTCACTGTATGCTTGGTAAATCCCTACAGGTTTGAAGACAGTGCCTTAGGCACCACTATGGGCGCCAGTAGGTGAGAACAGCAAGCAGGTTTCCAGACAGATATGCACCCCCACCAGAACAGCTTGGTGTTTCTATTTTGTATATTAGGCTTGTACGTAAGATAACATTTCAGAAAAAAGTCTGCTGATCCAACCCTTTTGTTTTACAACTTAGCAGTCCTACATAAACATATACTTTGCAGGGAAAAAAAATCAGCAAGAGCATATAGATACAAGGTTTGTACCAAACTTCAACATTCTATCATTCTTCCTACTACTTCACAGTGTGCATGTTCTACAAGCAGCAGCCAGGCTCTCCTAAAACTTCTATTACACAACTCACCTGCTCAGATCCCTCAAATGCCTCCCCGTCTTGTTTAGTAACAGCCAAAAGTTCTTACAATGCCTGCAAGGCCCTATGTGATCAGTGTACACGACTATTCAGCATCAGTCTGTATCATGTGTTTTTCTCCAACGTTATTTCTTAATTTTCTCTTCATTCACTGAACTCCAGTTCTAATAACCTTAAATGGCCTCATGCAGTAACAGCTCCTACCCTGGGGCCTTTGGACTTGCCATTATCTCTGCCTAGAACATTCTTTACCCATAGTCCTACAAGACTTGGTCACTTAGTTCTTTCAGGTCTCTGCCAAAATGCCACCTTCCCAAGGAAGGCTTCTCTGATCACCTTCTATAAAATAATAAAAGGCTTATTCTTTTCCCCCACAGCGCTTATTATGCTGACATATTTATGCATGCATTACCTGTCTCTCCTAGCTCCAACATAAGCTCTTCAAGGGCTGGGGCTGTTTTTACATACTGCTCTATCCCTGTCAGTAGAGACACTGGCATGGAGTTAAGCACATAAATTTTGACTGAATTGTGTTTTATCATGATTTGTAAAAATTTTCCTGTAGTGCCTATATGAGAAAAAGGTAAAACAGTTGACTTGAGGCTCCTAAAAATGTATTTGCATAGATTTGTAATAGAGGCTCCCCAACAAGTAGTTCATTTCAGTTCTACAGTTCAGTCCAGTTCTTTTAGTTCTTTAGTTCACTCCAGTCTAGTAGGATTTGAAGTGAGAGGAGAATACAGTCTATACACGTTCTTCTACTGTACTCAAGGACTGAACTACCCACACAGAATTTCTTCCTTCCCCGTCTCATTTCGAGGCTTCCCTTTCAAAAAGGTCAGGAACCACTAGAAGAAAGACTAAATCTCAGCCTTGGAATGAGCCTATATTAAATATCTGTAAATTTCAGATAAAAACCAGAATGGAGCCAGGCATGGTGGTGCACATGTGTAATCCCAGCACTCAAGAGGCTAAGGCAGGACGGTCCCTTTGAGTTTGAGGCCAGCCTGGGCTATATACTGAGTTCAAGGCCAGCCCAAACTATATAGAAAGCCTCTCAATCAGATTTGAATCTTGTAGAATTTTTTTATTTCCATGAATGAAAAACTACAGCCAATGGAATCTACAATGATTAAAATCAGGCATACACCCCTACATAAAATTGCCTTTAATTTCTGACTGGCCTGAATCTTTATAATTTCTTTAGGCACATCTTTGAATTTTCTGTGCCTTGATGTACAAGATAGGTTAACTTCTTCCTGTGGCCATTTAGTAATGAGAACTGTGTTTACTGGCTAGATTCCTTTAAAACTAAAGGCATCTAGATTCTCAGGTTGTCTGGTCTATCTTGAACCCATACCTTAATATGGTCAATTATGCTAAAGGGGAGGGAAATAACCTAGAAAGCTGAAATGCACTATACAAATACTCTGTAGATTTTTTTCAATACTGACAGTCAATCACTAGACAAGATGCCCAATTTACTGCCAATTTCTTCTTCTTTCACTGCTGTCCTTTCTAACAGACACAAACATCTCCCCCAAAAATCTGAAATGGAATCACACAAATAGATTTTACCCATGCAGTCCCACTATCAAAATATAGAAAGCAGTTCCATTCTCAAAATTACAGGAAGCAGTAAAGGGAACCTCAAGAAAAGCACAGTCCCATATACAGTAATACACATCTAATAATTTCTCATTCATCCATCAATTATTTTCACAAGATTAGCATTGAAAATATAACCAAATGCACATATAACCTCAAACCGCACACAGAAATTTGGTCTTTGCTCATTTTCAGATGCTAAGATGTCCCAAGAATGATAAAAGGTGGGAGTTAGCCCCTGGTAGCCATTTCTTCAACTGTTCCACGAACAGCTCTTCATTTCTTGAACTACCTTCCTTTTCCAAAGAGGTAATGCTGAGATCAGTCAGAAAGACTTTCTGAGAAGACTGGCTTGGATTTCTGGGTCTGTTCCAGTCGATTCAAGATGAACTGGCTTGTATCGATGAATCGCTCAACACAGTTCACAAAACAGGCCTCAGCCCGACTGTCCAACTTTGGCCCAGGCTTGTCCATGCACTTTTCCTGCTCAGGACAAAATACAGAATTAAAAAGGAATCTGGGGTCAGGGGCAACGATGACTGGACACGACAGACAGATGACTTCTTACTGTTTCTTAGAAGACACACACCTAAAAACAGTATCTGGGGGGCTGGGGATTTAGCTCAGTGGCAAAGCACCAGCCTGGCAAGCGCAAGGTCATGAGTTCAACTCCTGGTACCGGAAGGAAAAAAAAAAAACAGTATCTGGTATGTTAATAACATTTCACATTTGGCAGCTTACCCTAACTGAAACAACTTTCCATAAGTTTAAATTCTCACAATAATCCTATGGAATAGATGCTATTATTAATCCTCACTTTATGAAGAGAAAAAGTACAGCACAGAGCTCTTTTGTCCTGTCATAGGGCCAGAAAATACTGGATCTGAGATATGAAGAGTAAGAAAAATGACAACATACAAAGTTACACTGTGCTGAACGTAGATGTAACTCCACAATGATGCTTGCATTGAATAGTTTTAAATTAATTGCAGAATGAAAGTATTAAAGAATAAATTACAGGAAGATACCCTACAGAACTGAGATCTCATACCCTTGCCTACTTAAGCCTAAGGTTCTTGAATCCTCTCACAAGGAATGAAAAACTGTATGAAATTTCCCAAAGAGTACATAGCTTATAGATTCTTAAAGTAGTCTTTGACCACACTCCTCCTACCCCAAATGTAATGTATCAAAATTTTAAAAAGAAGAAGAATCAAAGCACTCAAGCCAGTGGGCCTGGTGGCACATGCCTATAATCCCCACACTCAGGAGGCTGAGGCAGGAGGATCACTGCAAGTTCAAGGCCAGCCTGAACTACACATTGAGACCTTGTCTCAAAAATAAAAAATAAAAAAAAAAATCAAAGCACTCTCGTCCAAGGCAGACCAAATTGAAGCATTTGGTGAAGGTTACAGTCCAACAATACTCTTAAGTTTACGGGAAAGGGACAGTGGAAACTGAAGTGGTTAAAATAAATCTCATTTATAATTCTGTTGTATATACAAGCTTCAGACCCTCCAATTCCAAGGCATATTACCCTTGGGCTCTAAATTCTGCGAGTTTGTACTCAAGGAAGTGAAGTGTGCTGTCCTTGGCAACCAGAACACTTTGATCTCAAGCTGTGAATGCCTTCCACCCTTTGCCAAAGTCCCTTGACAGGACCCAATGAATTCAACCTTCAGACCTGAACCGGTTTGGTATTACACAACGATCCAACAAGTATGGAAATAAATGTGTATACTGGAAGTGATCACGCCACTTTCATATTTAGTCCCTCATTTTTCACCAGGAAAGATTAGAAAAACTATATAATCAAGGTAAATCCCAAGGAGTCCAGGACCAGCAGATTCACGGACTCTCGGGGATTCAGGCTCCTCAAAATAAATCTCACTACTGGGGAATCTGATCAGTCTCGACCAGCACTAAACAGCTTCAATCTCAGGTGCCTGAGTGCTGGATGGGACATCCGTCTAAGTCTCACGTCCCCAGTCCTCTGCACCCACAAAGCAGCAGTCCGGAGTGACAGTCCACTGAGGAGTGGAGTCATGCTCTCGCTTGGCCTAAGGAAGCGGAGAAAACCGGGGAGTGCTGCAGGGTCCACCTTCACCCCGAGATGCCCCGGGCAGGGACGGCCGGAAAGTGGGCAGTGTCCAGACCCCAGCCCTAGGATCCTCACCCAGCAAAGTTCAGTCATCTGGTGCACCAGCTGCTGGAAGCGCTGCTTCTGAGTCTCCACCTCGATGAAATGCTGCAACTGTGGGTCCACTGTGCCCAAACCCGGCGCGGAGGACAAGGAGGAGGAATCCATCTCAGCTCAAGCACACTTGCAGAAACGGATTCAGCGCCGACTCGCCGACCTTCACGTGTCTTGGCAACGGAACCGGAACCACAACCCACTGCCTCGGGGGCCGCCCCGTGAGTGCATTGCGTCGGCGCGGAGGCCGCGCCGTCCTCGGCGGGGGCGCTGCCCGCTCCCAAGCTCCCAACGGGCTGGACGCTCCCGGCCGCAACCGGGTAGCAGCACCTAGCCTACGCCTCGAGGCTGAGGCGCGGTCAGGGCGTTAATCCGAAAATAAAAGAACGTAGAGGGAAAAGGAAGTTACTTCCGATCACGTGATCCCGTGGCCCACTGCGGGGCGGGGGGGGGGGGGCACACAGCCCCGCCCCTGACCACCTCCAAATTGGTCCGAGCTTTTCCGGCTAAGGGTTTTGCAGGTTCAGGACTGCTCAGACTGTTAATTGGCCTTGACTTTATCTTTGGTGGAGTTTTCCTCTCTTGATTTAGGGAAATGAGGCTCTGGCAGAATTTGTCCCCAACTTTAAATTCATTCAAATGACACTTCATTTCTACTGTGTGCCAGTCAGTGTGCTTTGGCTTGTGAATTCATCTTGGATTCAGAGGCAGAATTCAACAAGAACCACAGCAGTTAAATGTCGAAGATCCTGTCGAGTTCTCCATGTAAGAATATGCCAAATCAGTGCCACACAAATTTTCTGCAACTTCAGGTAGGGCGCTTCAGGTAGACTGCATAATTGAGATATGAGACTTTTATTCTTTTCAGGATTTTATTTTATCAAAATAGCCCCCTCTCATTTTAATGACAGTTTTATTCTTTTGTGGTTTGCTTTTTGGGTTTTTGTTGTTGTTGTTGTTTGAGACAGGATCTCGCTATGTAGTTCAGGCTGGGCTGGAACTTACTATGTAGTCCAGGCTGCCCGCCAGCTCACAGTGATCCTTCTGCCTCAGCCTTCTCAGTGCTGGGATTACAGGTGTGCGCACCATGCCCAGTGACCCTGTTTTATTCTCAGCAAATTCTGTCCCACTGCCCAAGCTCTAATACCTACCAAAAGACCTGTAGAATCCCTTATGAAGATATTTACACTCCTCCCTCCCTAAAAGGGTTTCCCTCCCAAATTCAGTCTGTCTTAATAGCATTGGGAAATTTTCTGTCTTGGGGGAGGGAGGTGATATACCAGGCACAGAAATTCCTTTGATATTGCTCAGAAACACTATCCCAAGGCATCAAAGAAAAGAGACATTCCTGGATATACAGGGGCCTTCATGTATCAGAAGAAGCAGAAAGACTCCAAAGCCTGTAAGCCTGGGATTTCTTCAGAGAAAGTGAAACTGGGGCTTGCAGAGATGAGTAGAAAACTAAGAGGGTTATGGGCCAGCTCAGGATTCTTCATCCATGACATCTAGAATGTTGCTCAGGAGAATTTTGAAAGTGGGACGTTCATCTGCTTTCTGAAACCAAAGAAAAGTGGAGTGTTACAACAGCTAGATTCCAAGGGAAATGTAATAGTAAGCAACAAATGCTTATGAAGTATATGTTATATGCCCAACAGCATACCTTGTTGATTACCAAAGAAAAGGGGGTAGGCAGGGATAGCCATTCCTGGGCTGAGGCATGCTTGCCTAGCGTGCGCATAAGGACCTGGGTTTGACTACGAGAACCACCAAAAATAAATAGTTCTTCATAAGTAAATCTTTACATACGTTTCATCTTTTGTAACTGAGGTTATTAGTGTAATAAGAACAACTTGCAAATGAAACATTGATTTAAACTAAGGGCTAGTTTATTATATAATACACAACATATTATTTTGGAGCTTCAGGAGAAAAATGGCCACTAAACACGTTTAAGTAGCTGATAGAACAGAAATCCTACAAGCTATGATAATATTTAAGTTTGCTTTGAAACACTTCAGTGAATCCAAAACCATAGTGAACAAAGAGCTTAACCTTTCAAGAACCACGGTGTCTGTGGCAGGAGCCCTGCGCACCTGGGACCTTTTGTTAGCGTGGCTTCCCAACTAAGGCTGTTTTTTGACAGCGATGGTCCATAAACCCCTGAGGTATTTGGTGATCCAAGAGCATTCATGCCAGAGCGGTCTCAATCTATCAGAACCAAAAGGTCATCAGTTTCTTGGTCGTTTGAATCAGTGGCTCTCAAAAGTAACTGAGCACCGTATCAGAATTTCCTGGGAAATTTCAAAAGATTTCTGGATTCCATTTCAGATGAACCTGATCAGAATTTCTGGGGATGAGGACCAGTAATCTATATTTTTAAGAGTTTCTCAGGGATTCTGATGTGCATCTACTTTTGTGACCACTACCTTAAATGGGCTGGGGAGAAAGTGCCATCTGAAATACAGTGGTTTTTATTTTTTTTACTTTTTACTTTATTGGTACATTTTAGATATACATAGTGATAGCTTATCGTAGGGAATTTGTACCTGTACATGGTATAACTTGCTTTCTCTTTTTTCCCATTCTCCTCTGCTCCCTCAGCCCCTCCTCCCCTCTTTATTTACAAAAACTCTGTGAAGTACAGTCGTTTTTAACAAGCAGAATGAGGATGTCCTAGTTAGAACAGAGGGAGCATAGTCAATCAGCCTTAATCATGAATCACACAGCCAAAGGAAGGGAAATTATTCCAAAGGGTTTTCCCTTCCTCCACACTTTCTTTGTGACCTTTGTCATTTGTTCAAGGGAAAGGAGCTATGCGCTCATTCAAATATCCACTTTTGTCTCATCAAGAGGGCTCCAGAATCACGTAGGCTTGTTGGACACTATCTTTTCCATTTCTGGAGGGGTAGAACTAAGAACTGAGCATTTATTTCCAACTAAAGGGTGGGCTTGGCAAATATTTACTGAAAAGTGGACAAAACACCTTAGAAATAGCCTGAGGTGGGAGCAGAAAAGCATTCATTGTTATTTTTTACAATATACAGCTTGGAAGGGACCTAAGATAAGTAGTTTGTGGTGTTGCTTTTAACATGATGCAGAATTTAATGATTGTTCTTTTCTTTTGAATGTTTGTGCACTTACCTGAGTGTCTCTAGCTGGCTGCTTATGCATGGTGACAGCCCCACAACACCCTCTCTCCCTAAAGTGAGTTGTGTTGGTATCTGCTAATAATAACTATAGTGAGAATTGGGATGGGCCTGGGAAAGCCCGTGGCCATCAGAGGAATTGTGGGCAGGCCAGGGTCAGAGAAGATGTGCAGCTGTCAGTCTGTGCTCAGCTGTCACATGGCTATGGAGAGTGCGGATTGGCCAGCTAAATGAGAGTAGGTTCAAGGAAATTAGGAGGTGACACTGAAACACTTACCTCATGCCAGCAGCTGTACATGATGGTGTAGACTCTCTCTGAAGCCAGGTGAGGCCTGTAGAGGCGCAGGCCTTGGGAAATGTGTTCAGCAGTCTCACTATTAGTAAATCTCTCATATGGCATCTTCCCCAGGGAGTAAATTTCCCACATTAAAACCCCTAGTAGTGAAAAAAATTACTTCAGTTTGCAGTCTTTTGGGATAGTAGAGTTCCTAGTTTTCCTAGATCAACCTCAAAGATTACAATCAGTTGGTTATCCCCTCTTCTTTTGAATTTTGTCCAGACTTCTGCTATTGTACCAACTACTTTCAATAGCTATCAGAGTTACATTCTAGACCATTAGCTACTCTAGAAGAGAGATGGCATCTTATTTGCTTTTGTAGTTAGAAGTTCTGGTACAGTGCCCCAAGATGGTGAAACTTTTAGAGCTTTCAGTGATGACAAACAGCCCCCTGCAGCACACGTGCCATAGGTTTGCCACCACTGGACATAATCAGTATTCAGGCCAGGTGTGGTGGCTCATGCCTGTAATCTCAGCACTCAAAAGGCTGAGGCAGGAGGATCGTTGTGAGCTCGAGGCCAGCCTGGGCTACAAAGTGAGCTCAAAGCCAGCCTGAACTGCTTAGGGAGACCCTGTCGCAAAAAAACAACAAAAAAGTATCAGTATTGAGAAGCTGTTGAATACTGAATGAATTGTTCCCCTCAATATATTGTTAAGTTCTAAGGAGGCAGATGTCCAGTTTACTGTATTCTCAGAAAATCTGAAGGTTCCTGACACAGTACTCCCTAGGGAACAGATAAATGAAAACGAGAACAATTTCTGTGGAGGTTGCAAAGTGTGAACTTTCCCATTCCTTTTCTTGTGAGCTGTATAACTTGGACAATCTTATCCACTTACCAAAAGCCCAAATATCAGATTTGCTGCTGAACTTGCTATACATAAGGACCTCTGGTGGAGACCACCGGACTGGAAACTTGGAGCCCACTGAGCTGGTGTATTCATCATCCAAGACATACCTACAAGGGATTCAAGACATGCTTCCATTAGGATTTAGAGAGCACGCTACTGCTGTCTAATAGATTCTCCCTCCTTGTCTCTATCCCCCTTTTCTTTCTTCTTCTCCTTTCCTTCCTCCTAGTCTGCAGTTGCCAGGGAGGGATAAGACTGAAGAAAGAAGAAGGATGGAGGAAAGTCAACAGGATTAACAGGTCAAGATAAGACACTGGGGAAATAGCTTTGTAAAAAAGGGTGCAGAGATAAAGGGAGAAGGGAGAGGGATATGACAGTGAAACAAGGGGCTGGGGATTTAGCTCAGCGGCACAGCGCCTGCCTGGCAAGAGCAAGGTCGTGAGTTCGATTCCCGGTACCAGAAAAAAACAAAACAAAACAGTGAAACAAGAGAATGAAAGAAGTGACCTAAATATTCAGAGAAAGAAAATGAATAGAAAGAGGGTAGGAAACACTAGCATGGGAGAGAAAAAGAAAAGGAGGGGATTTAAACCTATAATACATCCCCATGTTTATGCTGTGATATTTTCACTTAGAAAAGGAAAGATAAAAAAGGCATACTCACCTAGACAGGCCAAAATCAGATACTTTTACAACTCCTTGATCGTTTACCAAACAGTTTCGAGCCGCCTGTAGTGCAACAGATACTAGTGAGAACCCACCCCAGCACACAAGTTAAATGCACAAACCTGCTTCTGCCTACTAGTAGAAGGAAGCCAGGAATACCTTCAACTAGAGAGACCCGCCCATCTAATAGGAGTCAGCTGCTTCCACTAAAAGTCTGATTCATTTCGATCACGTGCAAAGCAACCTCTTATGTTCTAAATAAAGCACTGAAGACGTGCAAAGTGATTTCATTCACATGGGCAATCCCACGACACTGCTTCCTTCACTGAAACGTTAGGAGGATTAAGGGAAAAGAGGAGCTATATTTGTTTTGTTTTATGCCTTTTGGCCTGTGAAACTAGGACAATTTA